TAGATTACACAGATTTATATTCATCTAATGGCAATTTATAAATCATTTATAATTGTTCAAACTTCATTTTCAAGCACACATTCCAATGGACCATTGCCAGTTAAATTATCTGAACAAAATGTTGAACTCGTTGAACAAACAGAACCTGCAAAGAACTTTCAAGAGAAGATATCAGAAGAAGAACTGCCTAAAACATTGGAGTTGGTTGAACCAGATTCGGCGAGTCCTATGAGTCAGATTGAAGTTACTGCTGCTGCATCTTCAATTAATGAAGTTAGTGATTTGGTGGAGAGCACAGATGAACATAAGTCACAAGAAGAAGATGTCAAGGAGATTTCTACAGTCCAAGATTTGAATGTGCTAAGTGATGACCAAGCTGAGAAAGGAGAGCCAACATGTTCAGATTCTCCCACTTCTGATGAGGTGAGAATTCCCAAAGATTATTCTGAAAGCAGCTTGCCTGCCTTGCAACATGAAGATGCAAAGCCTTCAGTGGAGGTACATGAAAACGATGTTGTTCGTAAATCTGTTGAGGTGGAGCAGCAAATAACTATAGAAAATGACGTAAAAGAGCAGCAGTGTTTGAGTTCTGGAAGCAACTCATCTGATGTTGAAGAGTTTGCATTAGAATTGGAGAAGTTAAAGAAGGATATGAAAATGATGGAAATTGCACTGCAAGGGGCTGCTAGACAAGCTCAGGTACTTATCATAATAAGTTTTGTGTTGAACCATGTGTATTTTCATTGACGAAGACTTTTGAAGCATATAAATGGTGTAATAAGCCCCGAGAAAAGAGTTCCTGGAACATTTTCCAGGTTATATTAAGTTGGATAACCAGGTTTTGACTTTTAAGTGATTTTGCTGACTTTCTTCATTGGTTCCTTGATGAAATTGTAACACATTGATTGGGTTCCAATTCACCTTGTAGGTACCAAATTATTGAAATTTGCGTAAATCTAAAAAATTTCCTTATTTGTCAGTGGTAGGTTTATGTCAGTTGACGTGGTCAGTATAAACAGTTATTTATTTGGCTTGAATTTTTGTTGGTTGAGACTTGTTAGAAAAAGAGATTTCCCCAGTAGGACTCTAGATGCTCTTGTAATTGGGGGTTGGAATTCAATCAATTATTTGCTCCTTGCTTATTTGGTCTTGATTTTTGTTGATGATCTTTTTTTTGGTTATGTATTTTGTGAAAAAAAAATGTCCCTTTCTGAATGTATTTCCATTTGGGAGCATCTTTTTCTTGTCATTTGTTTTTAGAATATAGTATAATATTATTGTGCATAATATGAACTTTGAGTTTTTTGTTTGTGATTTTGGATTGGAGATGACAAAGAGAAGCACTTTATTTAATTATTT